TTTTTTCTCTTTATAATTCTGCATACATCTTTCCAGATCAATTTCAAGGAAAAAAACCTAGTTCTCTAACATGGGCAAAAAGATGCTAACTAGCAATAAGAACGTTTCTAATGGCAACATTAAAAATAATTATTTGATTTTCATAATTTTTATTGGAAACAGTATCTCAAAACACCAGATAGGGTTCTTGATTAAACAATTCAAAGCTGAAGCTTATTGTAAGGAAAACTAGCATATCCATTCTTTCCTTAAAATAGTTCTCCACTTGCTAAATTCCTGAGCACAAATCATACCCATACTGTGTTAATGCTATCAAGTTCCATCATTCAAGTTGATTCCAATTTCTCTGTATGAATCCTTATTTAGACAGTTTTACATCTGAGAAATATAATTTTTTAGTAATTTTCTGTATAATCATGATTTTTCAGTACTGTAACACAAAATTATGCCTAAATATTTAAACATAGAAGACTCTTTCTCCTGGTTCTAAAATAAAGATATTATCTCATTTTATGTGAAATTTATAAAAAAAAGTACTGAAAAATATATGAATCTTGGATATATTAAGCTAAATAAAAAAGTCATATAATCACACATTATATCATTTATATGAAATGTCTAGACCAGGAAAATCTATAAAAATAAGACTTGTATCAGTTGGCCCTTTGAGCTGGAGAAGCTGTGGAAATGGGAGAAGAGAGGAAATAGGAAATGAGGTTTTTAGACGATTTAAATGTTTTAACACTAATTATTTTCATGCTTGCATGTATTTTTAAATATACTGAAAATCATTGACCTGTATGAAGAGGTTAGACATAAGGTATATATATTATTATGACTTTTTCCCTTAAAAGGAAAATAATGTGTGTAGGCTCACAGCTTCAGAGATTTCAGTCCATAGTTCTTGGCTCTGTTTATTCTTGGCCCATGCTGAGGCAAAACATCACGGTGGTAGAAACATGTTGTCAAGAGTTCTCATCTCATGGTAAGAAGGAATCTGGGATTGACCAAATCAAGATAAACCCCTGAGGACCAGCCCCCAGTAGCATACTTCCAACTAGGTCCACCTCCAAATGTCCACTCTCTCCCAATAATGTCATCATATTATGAATTTGTTATATTATAAATCTAATCCACTAATTAGATGAGAGCTTTTAGGATCCAATAATTGTGTCAAAGCCTATCAGAAAGCAACCAAATCCAAAACACATGAGCCAGTAGGACCATTTCCTTTCAAGTCATGGAAGTATATGAATTACAGGTCATGATACTGTAAAAATTTCAGAAGTGTATATATAATATCTACTATATTATATCCATTCATTTTCCTTTATTCCAGAGCTTTATCAGCTGCTTTAATTTAATGAAAATTAGGGGCAACCCATCATATATGAAGCAATTATTGTGTTTCATCATTACAGGTAAAATGGGAATGAGCCTCTACCTTTAGGGAGAGAAAAATATGATGTGAATAGGGCAATGATATCAAAATGATAATGGTAATAAAGATAGTGATGATGACAGGAAAATTAGAAAAGGGAAAATCATATCACTGAGCATCTACCAAGTGCCAGAAATGCACACAGTACATGAGTTAAATGCTTTAAGTGTTATTTTGTCTTACTAGTCTAACAATCCTTGAGACAGACTCCATTTTTTTTCTGATTTTGTACATGAGGACATTGGGTCACACAGAGATGAAACTATCAAGAAATAGTAGAATAAGAATTTCATCCATAGTAGAATAAGAATTTCAACCCAGTAAAGATTAAAGTCTTTTTAACAATTATAGCCTAAAATCACACAAAATGTAGGACAAACTAAGGGATATGCCATTAATGAATCAAGAAAAAGGGTAGAACCATTTTAGTGAAGAAAAACACTTGTTTCCATCCGAAGAATGAATGGAAATATTAAATTAAACTATAAAATACGTAGACATTTATGACTGGCTACAATTTTCACAAGGCATAAAGTAGGCACAGAATCTCTGATTGAGGTTTTTTGGTTTTTTATTTTTTATTTTTTTGCAAAATATAGCCAAACAGTAAATGACTACAGATAAATAACAATTTCACATGTGCAATTTCCTCAAAATAAACTTATTAATGTTACCACTAGATATACAACCAGACCCCTGAAGTTTACTTGTCTGATCTCCATAATAAACTTTCATCTTCAACCTGAAATCTTTTTAGTTGTTTTGTGCTTGTAATTAAATATGTAATGAAGATGGTATTGATTTCCCCATCTACATTCTTTATTGATATTTTGTATTAATTCCCATAGTCAAACCTAGCTACATGTTATGATTAAAGTTATTCTTCTTACCAATCATATAATGCAAATAACTAAGAATAACTTCAATGCTTTTCACATAGGGGCGCAGTTGTATGGTTTCAATCTGGAGATCTTTAATGTTCACATCTTTAATGTTCACTTACATGTTCCTATTTTTAGGTTATAGTATTTTACATAATTTCTATACTTAACTCTAAAGAATTCTTATCACATATTTTTCAGTGCTTTCAAATCTTCCATCCATGTTCTTTCTTAGAATATTAGGATATTGAAGGAATGAAATACATTACTAAACTGTTTTCTTCTTCAATTAGTTTGTGAAAACAATGCAAGCAAAATGAACTTATTCTTCTACTGTGACAAGAAATTATCTTTTCTGGGGCAATCTGAAGAATTCAGGAAGATCTAACAGAAGATAAATAAATTAATTTTGTAAATATTGAAAGATAATCTAGAATTCTGTGATAATGAAGATGAGATTAGGTGATGCTCCAGTAATAAAAATGTCCCAAAGTTACACTGGTTTAACACATAACAATTTATTTTTACTTTCAAATAAAGTCCCCTGAAAGTCCATCCATCAGCTTCTGTGACAAGATTCTTCTAATTAGTGACTTAAGGATGTAATATACATCTATCTTAAAGGTCGATCTTTGCTTCCATGTCACAGTGGAAGATACAGAGCTGTAGGTGCATGCAGGACTTCAATTGCTCCAAGATGGAAACAACACATCACTTCTGTTTTTGTTCCCTCTTCTAAGTGTAGTCAAATGGCATCACCTAACTAAAGGTTTTGGGGATATGAATAGGAGCACAGAGATATGTGACAAGTTGTATATTTTTGCTATATTCTACAAATAATAGAACTTTTAAAAACTTTTGCAAAACTCTATATGGATACAAAATGTCATTTAAATTTAATAGTTTTACCAGAATATATATATATATATATATATTATATATATATATATATAGAGAGAGAGAGAGAGAGAGAGAGAGAGAATCAGAGACAGAGACAGAGAGAGACAGATAGAGAGACAGAGAGAAAAGAAATAGAGAGAGATTTTTAAAGAAACATTTAATTTATGAAGCTCCAAGGTAATCTAACATGGCATTACTAGAATACTCCTTCCAAGAACCTTAGTGAACAATTTTGGTATTCCCACTGCAAAAATTTGAGGAGACAATAGGTTATTTCTCTACTAGATGTTTTCTTTATTTATAATTTTACTGGCAATTCTAGGAAACTACAGCTGTTGTAGAAACATCCATTGAGCTTCAAATCATGTCAAAATACCTTATACTATGATATTACAGTTAGCATATTCTTTGTAATAGCTGTTAAAGACATAAATATATGATTTATAATTGTTACTCAAATATATAAAATGTAGAGTCAAAATAAGTTTAACTTATTTTTAACATTAATGGTGAACATCAATCAGCAATAACCACAAGGCACCAAATCTTAGTAAAATATGGACAAAAGATGATGAGTGATGGCATTATAACTTAACTCTTATTTATTGTGAGTCTTATAATGTTTGAGACAAAATACTGTCTATAATTTTGGCAGTAGTTTATATAACAAGATACACAATGTACTAGAGACCTGGCACTCAACTTCCTCATAGTAAACCAGCATTAAAAACTTTTAAAACCTCCCCTTTACATGCTAAGTATTTTGTCAAGTGTGCAATTAAACACAATAATGAAATTAATATAGCAATATTTAAAAACAACAAACATGAATTTTATATCACAAGCATAAATCATATTAAATGGAGTACTGGTTATAAAAAATAAGCTGGATAATTAAAACATCATTATAAAAATGTGCATGCCACTCTGAATCTTTATGAATGAATCAATACTAAAAACTATTTAAAATGATTCTCCTCTAAAGGGTATCAAAGTTAATTCAAACTGTATAATATCATATAATATTATAATACTAGATATCCATTTTTATAATAAATAGTGTTCAAGGAATGGTTATAGATATTGAGAACTCATGTTGTAAACTGCTCTTTTTTGTTCATTTGAAGCAACATACACTGTCCTAAAACTTTGTTTTAAAAAAAAAATAGTTGCTGCAATGGCAAAAACAGGATGTGTAAGGATCAAAGGCACACCATTTAGCTAGCCAGAGTAGCAAATTCTCTCTGCATTCTCCTGCTGCGAGCCCTTTCCCCATGTAAACAAAAACTTATTGAAGGCAAAACTAAAATAAATTAAGCTATAGAAATAAAGATTTTGGAACATCAATGTTGAGTTCCTGTTTAAAAATATCAACTATGTTAGGATATTTTTGCTTATATTTTAAATATGTGTATACATTTAATACATTGAACTTTAGCTGCATTTTTTGTCAAATTATTATCTAAAACATTTTTCTTTGATTCAAAACTTTTTTTATCACAAACAGAATTTATGTTCCCAGAGGAACAACAATTGGAAGGAAAGACAAACAAATGGGTAAATAAAAGAATACATATATTCAAGATGCAGACAAAAAACAATATGGCCCTTTTTGGCACAGTGGTATCTGACTGGCAACTAGAAGCAAGTACTAACACAGGAAAACTCATGTATTTTGGTAAATAGGCCATAATTTTCACAGTTAAAGTTCATTTTAGACTGTTTTTCATGTATAGAAACCTTACTTTTTTTCCTCTTGAGGTTATCCTGACATAATTTTAAACAGACTTCTTTTTCTTCTTTTTGCTATGTTTCTTATGCTTCCTCTTTTTCTTCTTTGCTTTTTCCATTGCCCTTTCTTCCTCTTCACGTCTTCTCTTCTTTTTTGTTTTCATCTCTTCATAATCTGATTCTGTTGAAGATTCCAATGATGAGCAATGATCCTCAAGGTAAGCCTTCTTTCTTTTTTTCCTGAAGCTTCTCATATTCTTTTCCTCATCGGTTTCATCCTTGGACTTCTTTTTCTTCTTTAGACACTGCTTCCTTTCTGAGTCTGAGTCATATGTAGAAGCTTCTGATGATTTGTACAATTGGCTCTTCTTTTTTTTCCTCTTTTTTCCATGTTTCTTTTCTTCTTCAGAATCCGAGGAACTGCTTGATGTATCAGAGCTGGAAGAAGATGAAGGTGAAGATCGACAATATTTCTTCTTTTTCTTTTTCTTTCGTTCTTTTTTAGATGTGTCATCATTTCCTTTTAATATTTTTTCTCTGCTTTTTTCAAGCTCTTTCCTCCAAGTTTCATTCATTTTTTCTTCAAATTCAGCTAAAGCCTTGGAGCCTTTCCTTTTATTTTCTAACTGTTTCTTCACTTCTTCCCAAGTTGGCCTTGGTCTGTTCAAATAGTCTTGAATTGTTGGGCCTGAAGATTGAGTTGTGCCTCTCAATCTGGCCATCGCTATAGGGTTCATGTAGGCCACCCGGTTATCCCGCTTCCCCATGTTGCCTGATAGTATTCAGAGAAGACTCCTAGTTGAAGATGGAAACAAAAATGGATACTTTGCATACATTCTTCATCTGCTGGAATACCAAGAAGACTCCATCCTGTGAGAGAAGCAGGCAGAAAAATTACACAGTACTTTCACTGTAAGGCAAAATAAAAACATAAGCTTTATTGTTCAATGCTTATACAGTATAAATTTCCAAAATCTACAACTTGGGAGAAAAATGGAAGGTTTTGGCTATTAAACACATTGGCTATACACATAAAACAGGTGTAATATATTTTTATGTGCTTCATGTAAGATTCTAACAGGCATCTTAATAATTAATCTATTTCCTTTACTATTGTATGATAGATACCTATTTTTCTTATTATATTCCTATCTTACATGATGGCAAAGAGAAATCTGTACATGTTTGGAACAGGACAAAATCCATCCTACTATTTTTTTAATAAGTGTTTAATTGTGAAAATAACATACAAAGGGGTTACAAATACATGAGCAAGGTAATGAGTACATTTCTTATCAAGCACTGTTGCTTACTCCTTTGTTTTTCCCTACCATCCCTGCCCTCCCATTTCCACGACTACACACCCCACCTTATCCCCTCCACACCCCCCCACCTCCACCCTCCGCCAAAGTTGTAAAGTTCATTTTTCGACAGCATCTTGTACATTTCATTGTTGCAACGGGTCCACCTACATCCGTATTTAAACAACTTGTTTTTTTCCTTCCCCTCCCCAAACTATAAAAACATCAAATTCAGTGAAAACAGGGGTTATACTGTGGGGAAGGGACATACAAAGCAACAAAAAAACCACCTTACAAATACGTTAGAAACAATAGCAAGGAAGAAAAAAACCACTTGTGTCCTTACTTGGGGATCATCTCGCCTAACATCATCTTATCTGACCTTTTCTGCTTGCCTCAGACAAATACTAGTTATTGCAAATAAGGGAAACTTTGGGACCTATGTTCCTTTGGGCATGGCTTACTTCACTTTAAAAATTTGGGGATTAGCCATGAAAAAAATCTTTGTTCCACATGTGTAACATTAGGAAACTTTGCCTTCTATGATAGGTTTCATATTCATTCACTTCTTTCCATTATGTTGTTATCAATTAGTCCAAGCCATTTTCAGCTTTCATTTGTACTACTAATCAGTAGTTACTATGTGTTTATTAGCATTAAGGATTGTTTAGCACTTTGCAATCAATTATCTCACTCAATCTCTAGAATAAAATCTATGATATTAATTCTAATTGCCCCTAGTTCACAGATGGTGAAACTAAGGTCCAGAGAATTTGAGAATAATTTATGTAAAGTAACAAAGCAAATAAATGGTAGGACCATGACTTAATGCCACTGCATTTGAAACTTCATACACCTATCATTATTCTGTACTGCCTTCTTATGTTATTTTAAATGATAGACCTGATATTTTTACTGGTACAAGGACTTGAAGTCAGGGCCTGGAGATCTTGTTTAGACCTGGCTCTGTACTACTTGAGTCATGTCTCTAATCTGCCATTTATGCTGATTTATTGGAGATGGAGTCTTAAGGATATTTTGCCTAAACTTACTTTGAACTGTGATCATCATTGTCTCAGCTTCAAGCAACTGAGATTACAGGCATGAGGTACTACACATGCCCCATAGCCCTATTTTTCCCACAATATGATCTTCCATTCTAAATCTACACTGCAATCAGACATAAATTTTGTCATACTCATCTTGGTATTTAGAATGTTATAGCAGTATTTATGTAGTGATTCTTAATGATTCTTTTTGATCATTTATTTTGTGCCAGATAGTATATGTGATAAAATTATGGTTTACAAATTACACAAATATCAGACAAATGAAGATACAATTGTGATTGGAGAGATAAAGAAAAGTACAGGATGAGGGATGAATTCAGCTATGCCAAGACATTGTGGTTAATCATGGATCTTCTGTATTTTTTTCTGACTAGCATGCTCTCATTCTTGGTATTGTTGGTGTGTGGAATTCTGTGTCTAAGATCCTACCACTATTTTTTTCCCTAATGGACTGCTCCGCAATAAGGTTAGATCGATGTTATTCCTCCATTGGTCTTAGACAGCTGAGACTAACATGAAATTAAGTAATCTCACAGTTCTTTTTCTTTCTTCCTTCCTTCCTTCCTTCCTTCCTTCCTTCCTTCCTTCCTTTCTTTCTTTCTTTCTTTCTTTCTTTCTTTCTTTCTTTCTTTCTTTCTTTCCTTCTTTCTTTCTTTCTTTCTTTCTTTCTTTCTCTTTCTTTCTCTCTCTTTCTTTCTTTCTTTCTTTCTTTCTTTCTCTCTTTCTCTCTTTCTTTCTTTCTCTCTTTCTTTCTTTCTTTCTTTCTGGCAGTGTGCTTTGAAGTGTCAAATCTCAACCTGGTTTAAACAATACACCTTCCTAACTTTTGTTTAAAAAGAATCTTCAAAGTAACATTGGAATAAAAAAACAAGCCATAACTATTTTCTTAGACATGTAGTTGTATATATAACTATATAGATAAACACAAAATATTTCTTATTTCAATTAGTATGGTTCTTATTTAAAGTGATTTATGTGAATTAATGAAAAGTTGGATTTTTTGCTTTTTATAAGATCTGATGCATATTTTTCATTATATTATTCCACATTATTTTTCCTTGAAATTCTTAGCATAGTATATCTATTACTTAGTATGTATCTAGGCAGCAACACTTAGAAGTTTATCAGTGTCTAAGAACAATTCCTGTGTACTGGTTTACATTTGTATGAATGGCATATCCTGAAGACTGCTGTGCTTGTGTCATGACTTACAGTATTTCACTATTTTATAGGAATTCCTTGTTGTAATTTACAGCATTCTGACATACTTTCATGTGGTAGGTTCTTTCTCAGGAACTCAATTTAACTATTATTTATTGATAATGTCATTGCCTTTTAAAAGCTTCTACTGGCACAATTTATTATTAAAATTTTGAATCCAAAAAGAAAAGAAAAGAAAAGTACAGGATGTGATGAAAGGTGCAATGAGATATCTAAATCAGGGAAATTAAGCCTAAAATATTCATGTATAATTTTAAGACCTGATGGTTAAATTAGAATTAGCCAGAAACCAGTTACTCAGATGGGGTAATAAAAGGAACAGAATAGAATGAATATTCTAAGCAGATGGAATATCTTATAAAGTCTTAGGATGAAAAAGGAAATGCCAAATGCAGATTATATACTGCAATAAATTAACTCCTCTTCATTTATCTTTTTTAAAAGTGATCATTCCACTTGTCCATGGACATGAGCAAATAAAATCAATAGGAATATAATCTTATTAAAAACATAATTTAAGCTGGTCACCAGTGGCTCACACCTGTAATCCTAGCTACTTAGGAGGCTGAAATGTGAGGATCATTGTTCAAAGCCAGCCCGGGTAGGAAAGTCTGTGAGACTCTTATCTCCAACAAACCATATGAAAACTGGCAGTGATGTTATGGATCAAGTGGTGGAGCACTAGCCTTTAGTACAAAGAGGCTCAGGGGACAGCATTCGGGCTCTGAGTTCAAGACCTACAACTGCCAAAAAGAAAAACAAAAATCAAAAAACAAAACGATATTTTCATGCTTCACAGTGTAGATTCTACAACAAATATCACCAAAGCTACTCCTTGTACAGATAAATATTTTACTAGTTCTTAGATTACATTTTCAGTAAGATATGTAATTGTTGATGAGTTAACACAGACACGTACACTTAAGTTGAAAATCTTTTTCAAGATAGTTGGCAATCTAAGACTTAAACACACAACTTTTCTGCAAGAAGTTTGAACCATTGGCAGAGGACTCTATTAAAAAACACTGTGTTCTTTCCTCACACTAGTTACTGCTACTGAAATAAATGGCCTTTCAGAAAGCTACGTAAAGGATTTAAGATAGCAATGAGTCTACTAAACTATGAAATTCTATAAATTAAGTATACATATAAAAACAATATCTTTATCACACCATGTTTTGCCATTTTTACATTGGATGATAACATGATAACCCTCAGTAGAAATAAAAGACAAAGAGGGCTTATGGAGAAATTCAAAGATATTTTATATTTTCTTAGCAATATTAATTCTAGCAAGATCGTATCATTTGGCATATTTTCTACACAGTAAGACTCCAGCATGAGCATATCCTGTTTTAATTATTAGCATGACTGTTCTGAGAAAAGAATTTGTGCTCTAATATTGGTTCAGATCCACATGCTAGAAAACAGTACAGTGTTGAAGCAATTCTCCCAAGATGCATTCCCTCCAGCTAAGTGTGTCACGGAGCATTTGTCATTCTAGGGAAAAGGTACAGAATTCATAATGTTGCTTCCACTTTCTTCCCTCTACAGAATTTTCTTTTCTTTTTTTGGGGGGGTGGGGTCCAGTCATGGGGCCTGAACTCGACCTGGACGCTGTCCCTTGGCTCTTCAGCTCAAAGCTAGCGCTCTACCACTTGAGCCACAGCACCACTTCTGGATTTTTTTTCTTTTTGCTTATGTAGTGCTAAGGGACCATGCCCATGAGGGCCTCATGCTTGCAAGGCGAGTGCTCTACCACTGAGCCACCTTCACAGCCCCCTCTACAGTATTTTCAAATGACAAGGAATCCGTTTTTGAAGTCTTAAGAATGATACTAGAAACCTTATATCTGCAACAAAATGTTGTGGATGCAAAAGAAAAACAAGAAAAGAATGGTTGTGGAAGAGGCCCAAATACCAATTTTAGCAAAATGTTTGTTATAAAGAAATATCACCTTTCTATTTATCTTAATATAGTAAATAAATTTTGAATTGTTTAAATTTAATTATTTATTATGAAGTAAGTGTCTGCAGACTGGGAAGGTGGCTCAGTGGCAGAGCACTTGTCTTGCATGCATGAGGCCCTGGGTTCGATTCCTCAGCACAAGATAAGCAGAAAAAAAAAAAAAAAGCCGGAGGTGGCACTGTGGCTCAAGTGATAGAGTGCTAGCCT